GAACATTGGTGGTGAGGATGACAGGGTCCTCAGTGCTAGTGGAGGATGTGGTGGATGATGGTGCTGGCGGTGCCGTGGTATGCGGAGGTATGGCTGCAGGCGGTGTTGGTGTTGGCCTGGGGTTGGTCTGTGGTGTGTTGCGTGTGGAGAGGTTGCGGTAAGATGTGTGAGAAACTGGAGGGGCTTTGGCTGGTGGTGTTGTAGATGTGATAGAGGTTTTGTCCGGTACAGCGCTGACCGGAGGGCAGAGCATGGGAGTATGCTGTGGGGAGTCTTCCTCCTTTTTCGTGAGTTCCAGCTTTGGGTCGTTAGTGGATGACTCAACGGCTTCTGCCTTGGTGAGGTGTGGTGTCTCTTCCTTCGCTTCGATAGACTCTGTGGGAGTGCGATCCCAGTCAGGAGAGTCGTAGTCCATGGGGTGTTGAGAAGGCGAAGTGAGTTGTATGAAGCGGCCCGTCGAGAGTTCAAATGGCTGCGGAGATAAATGTGTGACTGCTGGGTGGTAAAAATGGAGATAGTGTGAAGAAAACTAAAAGGACGGGTTTTTTCGATCTCTGAGCAAAGCGTAATGTGTGAGACCAAGCGTTGTCCGACGCCTCAGGGGGAGGAGGACGGTGTGTCAGCAAGCAGGTGGCAAGCTACCGAGGAGGTGGAACTGGAGTTGGAGGCCGTCCAAAGTGCTTGGTGCAGGTGTCCGCGGTGGCCGGGAGCTGCGGATGGTCGGTCTGGGATGATCTGGTGCCCAGGGGTTGTGTGGTTCGGCTGCGAGAGTGTGGTGAGGGGAAGCCGGTCTCGGGAACGAGACCTGTCTCTGCCACTGAACCGGTGGATGAGCGGTGGTGTGTTGGTGGGTGATGGTGTGGCTGGGTTGCGTTGAGAGGTGGCTCCGGAGAGGAGGTTGGTTTGCTGTGGTGGGATGTCAAGGGTGGGATCAATGCGGTAGTGGCCAGGGGAGCCTGGTGAGCCGGGAAGGAATTGCAGCCTGTTGAGTCCACGGCGGGCGTCGTGGGTGGTGTTGATCAAATGTCGCAGTGTGTTGCGTGTCTGCAGAAAAAGTCTGTAGGCTGGTGTATTGGTGAAAGTAGACATTGGGGGGATGGGATCTTGCACAATGGGGTGATGTTGGAGATCCTCGACCAGTGAGGATATAGTATTGATCATCCAGTGGAGCAGGAGTAGTTCAGGTTGGTGTGTCACGGATGGAGCCAAGTATGGCATGGGATTGTTCGGTAAAGAGTAGCTGTGGTGTGGAGTGGGTGGGCCAGGGGAAAAAGTAGTGGTCGCTGAGAAAGGAGGTTGTGGAGTTCGTAGATCATCGCGAGGCATCATGTCGTAGGAAGGGCGGACGGTTATGAATGAACAGTTCGGTCAAATGGCTGCGGAAAAATGGTGGCAAGCAAATGCGAAAAACCATTAAGCAGTGTGAGTGTGAAAAGAAGTTCTGTTGGATGGCTGAATTTTGCCGCCCGCCGAGAAAGTCAGTGAGACTTGAAAAACAAAATGTAACAGTAGCCGTGAGCGGGGATGCCGTCTCATAGTTGGCAAACGGCGCAGCGGCCGCCGTAGAGCTGGAGGTTGGATGTTGCTGTAGTTAGCCAATGCGGTGTGAGAGGTTGTCGCGGGACCGTGAGCGTTCCCTGGTGTGAGTGGTAGCGTTGATGTGGGTTGCCGGGGTGGCTTGTGGTGGGGGGCCTGTCCAGTATGAGTGTAGGCGTTCTGCGTCTTGTGGTGGGGTACGTGGTGAAGGAGAGGGTGAACGGCTGGAAAGTCCGGGTGGTAGTGGAGAACCTGGCGGTATGTTGTGTAGAATGGCCAGGTTTCTGCTGGAGAGTGTGGCTGTGGGGTTGATGCGGTATTGTCCTGGGAGCCCGGGGGCGGTGGTAACGAATTGAAGGAGCCGACGAGCTTGGGAGAGGTTATCGATCAGGCGGTCCAGCAAGATCAGGTCACCGCGCATTCGGTAAAGGAGGTTGTATGCTCTCTGGTCTTGAAAATAGGTCTGGCTTGGCATAGGTTCAGTGTGGAATGGGTGACGGCGAAGGTGTTGGTTGACCAGAGAGAGGAGGTCCAAAGAGCCGTTGAGGGATTGAAAATCGGGCTGAGTGCTAATCGACGGTTGGAGCCAGCTCGGAGGGCGCTGTGGGAGGTAGTGTTCTGTGTCGGCGGGGTTGCTATGAGGGCGAGCGCGAGGATTGGCCATGACAATTGATGGAATAAAATGGCGTACAAAAGGCTGCGGAGCTGAAGTGAGCCTGAAAACTGACAAATCGAAGTTGGGCAACCTGGTGAAAGTAGACTGGATGTGAAAAACCAAATGTCAGTGCGGGTCAGTGGATTTGTCCTGCGGCACGCCGTAAAGAAAGGTGGGTGAAACGGGTCAAATGAAATAACTGACCACGGGCGTAAGTGGAGATTTCTCCGGATGACTGTCTTCACTAAGGTCCCGCTCAGCAGCCGGCGGCAGCAGCGCAGCAGCAGGAGTCGTTTGATGTGGTGAAGTCGGTGGCGTTGTTATGGGGGAAGGGGAGAAATCCGGTTGTGAATGTGGTGCTGGGGAAACTGCTGGTGATGTGGGTGTTGGTGATGGGGAAGGTGCTTGTCTTGGTGGTGCGGTTGGTAGTGGTGTGGAGAAGAGTTGCTGGTCCTGCTGACGTTGCATGTCTTTGAGTTCTTGCCATCGGGCTTGGCATTGCTCAACGGAGAAGCCCACTCGGCGAGCCACAGTGGTCCAGTTGGGACGAAGTTTGGGGTTTTCTTTGAGTTCGACCAGGCGACAGTCGGCGTCGCCGTCCCAAGCATCCCAGTCCGCCTGTTGGTTCAGTGGTGGTGGGGGTGGTTGCTTCCGCTTGCGTGTTGTGGTGGGTTGTGGATCTGGGGGTGTTGTTGGAGTGTCGTCTGAGTCTTTTGAGGGTGGTGCTGGTAAACGGATGGGTGGTCTGGATGGTGCTGAGTCACAGGATGAGGTGGTAGATGGTAAACGTATAGGGTGGTTGGGCGGAGTTGGAAGTGGCTGAAAGTGTTGGCGGAAAGTGGGATCCGCTTGGTGGCAGTGGTGGAGGAAAACAGTGTGGAGGTGTGCTACAATATCTGTTGCTTGTCGGAGCAGGTTTTGCACCTGCGAAAGTGCCACTGCGGTTCTGTGTATGAGAGTTGAGGTGTCGTTTTGTAGAGGTGTCGGTGTGCTGCTCATGATTCTGAGATGTAGGGGTGTACAGTAGCTAAGAATCGTCACAGGTTGCTGCAGCAGCGCGCCAAAGCAGCCGGACAGCGGCGAGTCTGAGGGAGCGCGTCATCACGAGGCCGTGCATATGAATTAAGCGAGCATCAAATTCCCACAGGCAAAAGTGCGAATATGCAATGTCGGTTGGACAATCAAGTACATGAGAATCTGACATGTGAAATACTCCATCAAATCAGCCGTTACAATTCGAAGAAAGATGTTTACAGCAAACACTGCAGAGCTTGAAAAATTGAGGGTTCAAAATTCGCGTGGCCGCTGCAGGAGGCTCTTTTTTGCTGCTACAGCAAAGGTTGGGTGGTGGTGTGAGACCAAAAGTGGATGTGGAGGTGGTAGTGGTGTGTAGATGTGTGGTAGTGGTGTTATGGGTCCGGTGGAGTGGAGTTGGTGGACCAGGCCAGTCCTTTGACAATGGCGTGGTCCGGGTGGATCACCCAGCAGCGGCCCTTCTGATGAAAGACTGCACCATGGTGGTCGTTAAGGAGGCTCATGGCGTGTTCCTCACCTCCAGAGGTATATTTTGTGGCAGCACCCCAAGCAAGGAGTGTGATGATAAGGGAATGGGAATTCTTGTGGGGTTGCCAGGTGTTGTGGATGATGCGGGCAAGTTCGTTGTGGTCATGGGGTTGGTTATGGGTGATGCGAACGCCCTGGGCAAAAAATCCAGGGTAGTTGGCAAAGTGGAGTGTGCTGGGTAAAAATCGGCCTTGGCGTAGAATGTTGGAAATGTTGCCGACGGGGCCTGTGTGGCCTGCGTTGATGTGGGCGACTTCCCGGTGGGTTGATGTGGCGCGGGAAACCGCAGGTGGCTCTGGTGTAGTGGCTTTGGTGTTGAGGAAGGGAAGTGAAATGGCGTAGTACTGGAATTGGTCGTATTGGTGAGTGGTGTCGTTCCACTTGGCGTGGGTATATTGTCGGAAATCGGTGATCTCCTTGTAGGTGATGTTGCAGTCTGTGACTGGCTGGTGCTTTCGTGTTTTTTTATTTTTTGGGTTTCGCTTCTCGGTTCGTTCCTCGTTTCGCTCATCGGCCCCCTGGGCCGCAGCCATAACTCGGCCCCGGGCCCTTGGGCCCCTCTTGCCAGCCGGGTTTGGCGTGCAGGCGGGGCTGGGGCTGAGTTGGTGCAAAGGGCGAGGAAGAAGCAAAGCAAACACCATGTGGCTGGGTGTCTCCTTCGTGTAAAATACATACCTAGGATGTGGATCAATATGGCACACCTGTAGAGAACCCTATGTTTTAGGGGTCTGGCCGTACCAGACCCCAACCAGACCTATTGAGTCCTTAAACCAGGCCTGGTTTGTGGTTTCGGCTTAGCTCACCTCTGAGTGGCCAAGCCATCGGACAAGAGTGCATCTCCTTAGGTTGGAACCATCGCTCTAGTCGGAGGTCTCCCATGGTCTCCCTATTTTGACACAAACCCAATCAGAGCGCGTAGGTTGTAGACCAGTTCGGTGTGGTCGGTCTCCACCTGTCGACAAAATGGAGAAACCATCAGACCATCGGGTGATGCTGGAAGAAGTGCAGCCGTCTCTCACGGCCCAAGATGTGACTGAATGACTTTTTCAAGGAGTCACATGGAGTATCATGGAGTCACAATTTCCGAAATACACCGCTCTTAGGTTGAAGGCGCACCACTCTTAGGTTGAAGGCCATCAGCCTCATCTCAGACCACCCAGTTTCAGAGTATATATAGACTAGATCTCAGGAAAGATCGAGTGACCCACTGACAGACTGAGACTGCACTGCTCTAGCTTTCTCGGCCATGGTCCGGGTGCGCGTGCAAGTTGCTGGGCAACAGGTGGAGTTGGCCTGTCCCAAGCGGGAGGCGGCGCACTTCAGGGCGAGGCTGTTGAGCTGTGAGACAGCTGCACGCCTCTTCAGAGAGGCTGACCGGTGCCGGGCAGAGCTTCGCGTTGTCAGGGCTCCGGCGCTGGGCCGGAAGCAGCGGAGGAATTCGCAGAAGCGCTGGCATTGTTGCCCACTGGTGCGACGAGCTCCTCACAATCTTCTCGCGAGCACTGGCCGACCGCGCATCTTCGTGTCCGCAGTTGTTCGACACTCCAATATCGGCCAGTGCGCCGAGAAGGGCCTCTTGAGTGTGGCGCTGTGCCACTCAACGCTCAGGTCTTGTATGGAGGTTGGAGACGTTGCGTTGCTCATCTCTTGTTCACGCCAGACTCCGAAGGTCGAGCCACACGTGTACAAGGAGGCCCTGGACGGCAACCGACGGTTGGTGTCGGTGTTCAGAGTCACCGAGCGTTTGTCGCCAGCGGAGTACCACACGCAGTTCGGTGAGCGCACTGACAGTTGGTACAGGAAGAGTCGCAAAGGTGACACTGTGAGGTGGCTGGTGGATGGCACCGAACTGTCCGAGAGGTGACTTGCCGTATATTATCCCCGACTTACATTCACATTTTTGTCACCCCAAGTCCTCAGCGAATTGAAGGCCATTGGCCACCATATAGAGTACCATGACCTTGCCCCATCTTTGCAGTGTTTCTCTCGTTTGGTCTCCCCCAAGCTCCTCAGTTGATTTCAGCTCTCAGAACTCCGACGGATTTGGGCTTTATGATCTTTTGTGAAGGGACAGGAAGCAATCCCACAAACCAATTCAAACGGTTACCTAAGTTTTGTGGGCGCTTTGCCGCCACCAGCTCCACCTCCGCAACCCCGGAATACCGCTTTGATCGTGGTCGGAACCCATTGCAGTCAGGCCACATCGGCTCGGTGCTGGCGGCGAGGTGCACAAGCTTGGCGGCTCCGACCTGCGTGGCATGGTGCTCCTGTCGACCTGTTTTGTGCGCTTCCCTGCAGATCTCAGTGGCTCACCCGCTCTGCCGGCGAGCTTGACGGACCACCTGGCGAAGAGCTGGAGCTGGCGTGGTCACTACGAGCTCCCCACACGAGTGGCGGCAAAGTGCCGTGAGTGGTTGCGCCAAACCGTGTGCAAAACTTGGGCGGCAGCTTGACTCTGCTTTGGGAGGGCGGCAAGACCACATGTGGACCCGACATTTGCAAAGTTTAGTTTGCGGGTTTGTTTGTGCTATGCCGCTAGACTACTTGAAGCTGTGTCTCGGGAAGCTAGGCTGGATTCCTGGACCAAGATTAAGTAGGCAAGGCACCAGCCCAAAATGCAAAAAGAATGCAATAGGCCTGAACTTGGGCTTGGGCGACTTACTTTGATTTCGGGGGGGGGCAGGACGTGCCATCAATTCACGGTTGGCAAGTGCATGCGCGCAAGAGTTTCGGTATAAGGTAGAATCAAGGATGCAAGAAGTCATCATTTGTTATTATTTACAGGTGTTGGTTTCCGCACAGCGGAGTCCAGACGTGTGTCGTTCCAAGCCTAGAGCTTGGACTCGCTCGGAGGGCGACCAACGACGAATCCCTCAATCTGACCCCGGTTGTTCTTCAAAAATGGTCACACCCTCTGGTCTGCAGGTTGGGAGTGGTGGATGATAGTATGGCGGGTGGACCGGGTGTACACCCCTTTGGAAATATATAATATATATATATATATTTTTTCCAAATATATATATATATATATTTTTTTTTTGTTTTGGAGATTGTCTCTCCCAGCGTGGCGGGTGTTAGGCGCAAGGAAGCCCAAACCGACCAAACACACCCAACACATCAGCGACGTCGAAGGTACTCCCATACCCGAAAAGTGGGGAAGGAAGAGAATTTCGGTATAAATATCATGCTTCGGCCCGGCCTCTTTTGGATAAGTCCTGGGTTCCTGGTAGTGGGCACCCCAGACCCCAAAGGTTCCAAGAAAGGACCGGCTTCCGGCCTCGGGACATGCCTGGGTGTGTCAAGAACCCGACAGGCCCATGTCGGTGGCGGCTCGGCGGGCGGCGGCGGCGGCAGCGGCGGCAGCGGCGGCGCGCTCTCGACTTTTTCTGGACGAAGGCTTTCTCAACCGATGTGGGCAGTCTCGACCGAGATTTGTGGGAAAGTGTGTCCAGTCACTGGTCGTTGAATGGCAAACCAATTTGCTATGTGGATAGGGTTGCTCTGCAGACAAGCGTGACTTCAAGCTGGTCAGTCGATTCGGTTTGTTTCAGTGGAAAGATCCCAGACGTCCAAACATGTATCGCGTTGAGACAACACTGCCGGCACGATCTTCTCCTGACAACCTGAGCACTTCGTGTTGACACAACAATTTTTCCCGCGCAGGTGCTCATCCGCGCTGGGACAGAGCAGTTGGCTGTGTGGCCGGAGGCACTTACGGGTTTGGGCAAAGGTGCTGGGCGAGCAGAAGTTGCCAGGGCCCAGACCAAGGATGCGAAGTTGCTGTTAGTTGTTGGGTTGCAAACAGCCTTTTGTTTGACAAGCACACCCACCAGACTTTTGCTGTGTTTTGTTTGCTGTCAAAAGACAGCTGGAAACTGTTTGATCGCGATGTTCCCAGGCATTCGGCGTGGAAGAGAACCTATTTTCCACAGATGGAGATATTACCTAGGAGTTGATATACATGTAGACATTTTATGTATCCATCTAACTAACTAAATATATAGTTATCAATCTAACTAACTAAAATATCTATATATTTGTCTATCTATCTTTCTTTCTTTCTATCTTTCTATCTTTCTATCGATCTATCGATCTATGGATCTATCGATCTATATGGATCTATCGATCTATCTATCGATCGATCTATCGATCTTTCGATCTATCTATCGATCCATCGATCTATCGATCTACCGATCTCTCGATCTATCCATCTATCGATCTATTTATCTATCCATCCATCCATCCATCCATCTATCCATCCATCTATCTGTCCATCCATCTATCTATCTATCTATCCATCTATCTATCTATACCTACATGGGAAAGGCATGTTTGGCTTTGCCGCTTCCATTCTCCCTGGCGAAGGGCACTGTCCCAAAGAGACTCATGCTCAGGCTGCTGTGCTTGATGGGGCTGACCAGTGGAGTCACTGTGTCTTGGATGAGGATGGGGTCCGAGGGGCGATGCTCCCACATTTGTGTGTCTTGGATGAGGATGGGGTCCGAGGGGCGATGCTCCCACATTCTGGCTTTATGTTTGAACTTGCGGGGCCACGATGTGGTGGAACAAATCGCGTCGGGTCGCCAAACGTCGTATAGACATGATGGGGTGGCGCGAGACAAATCCTAGTTTGTGATATCGAGATTGGATCTCCCGAAGGGTGTCCCCAGATGGAAACTCGACCGGATCAAACGGGCG